ATTTGGTTTGTTTGGAATCTACAAGGACAGGGAGCGAATTTTGGATTTGTGAGAGGTGCCTGTTATCATCAGTTTTGCCGTATGAAAACGTATCCATTATAGACGACAGTGACAATTTGCAATGAACTATACCATGACTTGATTTATATAATATGCCACTTTGTTCCTGCCCTGATTTGAAAATGTTTGCATATCCTTGTAAACTTTTTTTGCAATATTTGTCAAGTATCCTTCATGGTCCTTGGATGCCTTGCCCTCTGCATACTTCTGGACCATCAGAACCCACAGTCAGAGAGCTCATTGACGATAACAATTCCCTTATTTCAAAACTGCACACAAAGCTCTAGGAGATAAAATCTTTGATTTACAAAGAAGCACCAGCTGTGAAGGGCATTCATCTTCGACAAGTTACACCAAAGAAGAAACCTATAAAGAAAATGAAAAGTTTAATTAAAGGAAACAGAGAAAGAGGCTAAAGAAAGACTTGCCACATCACCATAGAGAAGTCTGAAGCTTCTTTAAGGAGGATGTAGTAGAGAATATTGTAAGCGACAATCAAGAACAACTAGGTTCTACAATTTTTTGTAACATCAGTTGACAGAGATACAGCAAGAGACAATTGAACAGATTTTGTTGAAAAAAATACAAAATTTTTTGTTGGAAGGCAGCGACTGAACAAACATGACTTTAAAAAGATATCAGAGAATGGCATGCTTAATAACTCAATAATCAATGTATTCCAAATTCTGATGCTGAAGGAACACCCTGAGTCAAATGATTTACAAGACCCTTTTCTTGGGCAAAACATGTTTTTTACTGTACACCACGACAAACCTTTTGTTCAAATCCTCTATGATGGAAAACTACATTGGATTGCTGTTTCAACATATGTATGTGGGCCTGGGAAGGTCTTCTACTTTGACCGTTTGTGTTCTCTGGTAGAATATCTGAAAAAGTTAATCAACTATTAGGTGCAGTCATGCATTCTTCAAGGTCAATTTTGAAAATAAATGTTGTCCCAGTTCAACAGCAATCAAATAGAGTGGGCTGTGATGCAAATGCCATTGCCTTTACAAATTATGTTCTAAAGGAAAAGAGAAATCCCACTGAGGTGACATTTGACCAAGAGACAATGAAGGTCCTTAGCAGCAAAAACAAAGCTTTCCTTTCCGACAACAACAAGAACTGTAAGAAGATGCTGCACAAAAACGATTTCATTTGACGTATATTGTTCTTGTATAATGCGCTGGGTACCATTCCACAACAACATTTTTGAAAGGTAAATTAATTACACATTTACTCGCAATCATTCAATTTTATAAACTTTTCAATTTCCTCTCTAAGATATTAAAATGTCTTATTTTAGATGTGTATTTGAATTCGTGAATGCAAAAATAAAATTATGTTGAACTTGCTTTATTTCAACAAAGATATTCTGTTGCCTTTAGAGAAATATTAAGCAGTTCCATAAAAATTGCTAAAAATATTTTTTAAAAATTGTTTTGCATTTTACACACATTTGAAAGGTAATTAAGGAATCTAACTTTTCACCAAAAGTTCAGCTTTTCAAAAACTTCAAAAACTTCAGAAACAGAGGCTTATGAAGTTCTTCTATTTTACTGTGGAAGGAAATTGCTTCGAAATTGGGTTGGAGATGAAAATTCGGCCATAGTAAGTATTCTTCATTTCAAAAAGATATTCTTTTACCTTAACTCTTATCCATCGTGTTTGATTGAGTGTTGTTGATATCAAAGTCAAATGAATTAAATCCTATTTTTCTTATTTGAAATTATACAATTTGAAAAGCTAACCTTAAATCATATTTCTTCCAGATTTTAGCATATTTGGTTGGCGGCCAAGAGTTAATAACTCCTGTACGTGCATGGGAAATTCTTGTAAGCTGCGTATGTTTTTTAAGATAAAATAAAACGATATATTAGCTTGAAATTAATATTTATGGGGAAAATACAGAACAAAAATCTATATGTTAACAATGTAAAGAAGAAAAAGGAGCTCTTGTGTGCATTTGTAATTGACAATTTTTATCAATATTTTTTACATCAATAGTGGTTACCCTTGATTGGCCTACCTAGTGCTTTTTCCCGCCAGCCTCAAAGAAAATAATTATTGTTATTATTATTATTGATCAAATAAGGATTTGTAACGTTTTTTGTTAGTATGATGACCAGGTCTTTTTCTGTTAACTGCTTATTTTCTTAAATAAGATGGAGTTATCTGAAATACAGCTTTCTACCGTTTTAGGAAAAAACATCGCATTTGCATCAAGATCCTTAAGTGGAACTTCTATAAATCTATCAGGTAATGTGTTTCTAAAATATTGTTTGTCTTGGTATAGAAAATTCAATTTGAGCATTATGAGCACTGGATTTAAGAGAAATCAGGCTCAACTAGTTTTTATATTCAAAAGATAGGAACGAGGCTGTAGATGTGTTCAACAGCAAATGCTTGCAAAAAAACACGAAATCTAACTAATACTAATATGCCAATATGCAAATGAGCCTGAACAAAAGACCTCCACACTGCCCCGCGATTGTACCACCGCCCGGCGTTGCACACGGTGCCCAGCCAAAACTGCTTGGCCGATTTTCAAAATTCTTTTTTTCCCTTCATCAACGAATCTTTGGTTCACCATACTACGGTCTCCTTTTTCTCCTTTTCGCTTCCGTTCCTGAGATATTTACGTTTTTCTCCCGGGTTCGTCTCGATCCCCAACGCCCCGCGATTGTACGGGTTTGCAGCCAAAACCGCTCGGCCGATTTTCAAAGTTCTTTTTTCTTCTGAATCCTCCATCCCGATGCACCATCATCAGGTCTGCTTTTTCTCATCGTTCTTTTCGTTTCTCAGATATTTACACGGTTTTCTCTGAGGATGCAAGATCTCGATTAGTGCTCTCCGTGGTCTTTGTCCCGCGTTTCTAAAGGTTCTTTCTCTCTTTTCTGTTGCTCTCTACTACAAAAGATTTCAAATCTTCTTCCTCCAGCAACCCTTCAATTTGAACGGAGGCTTTTCAAATCTGTTTCGTTTTTAAGACAAAGAATCTACTGTCTGCCGATAATTTCGGTGATTTGGATAAATCTACGTGCACTGCTGCTTGGCATTCCTTTTCGAACTCGAAGCGGTTGTCGACGGTTGCGTTCTGTGCTACGGTGCTACAGTGCTACCATGCTACAGCTACAGCTACAGGTGAGTCTCGCTAGCTTTTTATAAGCTTTTCGTCGTCATTTTCCTTTCCTTTTTATCGATCGATCAATACTCCGTTTGTTGTTATTTCGTTTGCAAGAGCCATGTAATTCGTGGTTTTGACGATCTTCCTTTTCTTTGTTTTAGTAGCTACGTACGGTACGCACACTGCTGCCCGTTTTTTGGTTTTGCGATGGCTGCTGGCTGTTCTTCTTCTTCACTAGCATCAGAATCGATGGCATGCGAATACAAGTAAGCGTTGTTGTTCTTACGTGTTTGTCATTTAAATTATTTGACATGATTTTCTGCTCATTTGGATGAAATTGCACTAAAAACCAGCTGCTAGACCCCCGCCACGAACGAAAAAATTTTACCTCTTCTCGTGGTTTTGTGCTAAAAGAAAACTGGATAGGTTTTATTGCAATCAAAATGGTAGATTTTTCCTGCTGTTTATTCTTGATGCAAGAAAATTTGATTTTAATAGGAAACCCGTTGAGAATTATGTAATGGCAGCTGCCAACTTTTTATGCCAAGTGAGTATTTTTTGATTAAAATTTCACTTTTAATGCGATTTTCCCACTGAGAATGAATCATTCTAGAAACCATTTCAAATGATTTTATGCTTACTTTGATGGAATTACACTAAAAACCGGTCGCTTACTACTAGACCCCCGCCTCGAACTGCAAATTTCTACCTCTTTTCGTGGTTTTGTAATGAAAGGAAGCTGGATTGTTATGGTAGATTGTGCCTGCATCATTTTCGGAATTGTAAATGAATCATTCTAGAAACCATTTAGGCACGTAAATGAATTTACGTGCCAGTGTGATTCTGGCTACGTAGGGCGCACAACCCAAAGATTGGGGGATAGGATAAAACAGCATGTTCCTTCCAACATACGAAACAAAACTGCCCCTCAAAGAGAACAGCCTCCTCGATCTTGTAGGTCTAGAAACACTGTTAAAACAAGTGATTCTGCCATTGGTCAACATCTTTTAGACAACCCAGATTGTGCAAGACTCTATAATGACGACTTGTTTCGGATAATTGGCAGAGCCCGGTCGTCCTTCCATCTAGCAGTTTTGGAGTCAATCTACATAAAAACGAAAAAGCCGCCATTGTGTAGACAAAAGGAGTTCGTTTTCTCTCTTGGACTCCATTGGTAATTTTTCTTTAGGCTCGCGGCACTGATTGGTCAACTATACCGGTCTTGTGCTTGCGTTTTTCTGATTGGCTTATTTCGATCCACAACTGGGTATATATTTTTCAAACGTGTTTTTTCGGAACCTATTCTGACGTTTTATGCTCTGAGGAGTGTCAGACGAAAAAGCTTTAAGTATGTTGTAAAATGTTTGCTTTTTCAAAGCCATTTTCAAATTCTGTACCGCAAAAAAATTGTTCACAAAAACCATTTCAAATGACTTTATGCTTATTTGGGTGAAATTACACTAAAAACCGGTTGCTAAAAGGATTTGCTAGACAACGAACGTGTTTCTCTGAATTTTTTACCTCTTGCGTAGTTTTGTGCTTAAAAGAATATGGATTGGCTGTATATCGATTTCTTTAAAACGTGCTTCCATTAACCATGGAATAACATCTTCATTATTCTTTTTGTTCTACATCTAGATCAAAGATCGTTTCAAGCAATAATTATGACGCAGACATGATTCTCGGACCTTCGAAACGAAATTGATGGCATTTATGCTGGCGTTAATTCAAACGATGAAACAAGAAAAGACTTTACTGTGAAGAAACGGACTAAAGTTATATAGATCAGCTGTTGTCCGTAAATTGTATTTTGTTAATTTGTTGTTAGAGTAAGATTCCTTTCTGATGCACGAAACTTTGGCTGTTTTTTATCTTTCTATTTCTTAACTGCTTTGTTGCTGCAGTGTTGCAAAAGCTAATTGTGACGAAGATGTGATATGTGGACCTCAAATGTATAGAACTGCGTAATAATTCTGTACCTCTTTAGAAGAGGAGTCACTAATTTTTTTATGAATCAACATAATTTTTTTAGGAATTTTGATTGTTAAGAAAGTTTTAGATGATATATATTTAAACGAGCACCATGGACCAATAACTGCTAACAGGAATTTATTGTTGGAAAAACTTTAATGTTTGATTCAAAATAAACAGAGGAACTTTAAAGGTGGCCCGAAGTTATATCTTAAAACAACATCACAAGTGAACAAGAATTGAACAAAATGTTATGATAAAAATATTCATGTTGGATTCAAAATGAACATTAGAGCTTTAAGAATGGCCTTAGAAAAAAATTATAAGCGCCCTATAAGTCGATGAGGGCCAAGAGTGTATGATTGGAAAACTTAAAAATTTGATTCTGACTAAATAGGAGAAATTATAGGATAAACCCATGAAAATTTTGTCCTTCAAGGAAAATTGATTTGCTGTATTCGTCGCTTAACAAGACCATATTCAAATGGTTTTATGCTTAATTTGATGAAATTACACTAAAAACCGGAGAATGTTTACCTAAAGTTGTTTTGGATTTGTTTACATCGGGGGGCAATTCGCTCTTGCAAGTAACGTGCGAGATTTTGCCTAAAACAAAAGGATTTCTTGGGATTATCAGATAAACCAATAGGATTTTCACAAAAGGGGTAATGATGGACCGACTGAAAGTTGCTAACACTTAGGGGGTTAAATCAGCAAATTACCTGCTTTAAATACCAGATAATGTATATTTCGAGATGAAAAATGGATTGATAGGTACAAGGGGCCAACTGAAATTTGCTGACAGAAAGTTATAAGCCAATTTGGAATAAAGAACGCACTTAAAGGGTAAATCTGCCATTACCAGCCTTAAAGGAAGGTAAAGCCAGATAATGTTTATTGCGAAATGAAAAATGAATTGATAGGTACAAGGGGCCAACTGAAATTTGCTGACAGAAAGTTATAAGCCAATTTTGAATAAAGAACGCACTTAGGGGGTAAATCTGCCCATTACCAGAATGTATATTGCGTCCTTGATCTTGCATGATCGCCATGAAAGCTATGATACTGCTAATGGTAATTGGATTGATTCTGCTAAGAATTTCCCAAGTATTGATAGTCAACAGGTAATCAATTTCGGGTTTACTTTTCTAGAAGGATTTACAAAATTACAGTGAAGGTAATAAAACATTATCTTCCCACACGAAAATAGCTCATATTTCTATAGGTTTGTTGCTCTAAATGAATACTTTTTCCTCAAGGGTTGATTTTCGTTTATATGCCAATAGTAAATGCTACTCACAGTCACAGTTAAGATCAAGTCATAGCATTTTGGCGGATTACGTTTGTAGCATGTTGGCTCTTTCATCAGATTAAATAGATCGTAATTTTCCATAAAATTTTCCATAAGAATCTTAGAAGAACCAGGTTTCATATTAAAGTTCCCAAGTATTAAAATTCCTTCATAGCTTTTTGAATAGAAATCCAATAACTTACCTAATTCATCAAGAAATTAGATGCCATTTTGGTTTGTTTTTTTAAAATTAACTTCGACGGAAATAGTTTCTATATCGTTTGCCTAGTTGAGATTTCTTAATTCTCTAGCTGGAATGTTTTCATTCACATAAAGTAGTAATCCTCCAGCTCCAATTTTTCTGTCACGTCTAAAGGGCTTCCTAAACCCCTCGACAGAAAACTGAGATGTTGGGAAGGATTCGTCTATTTTTGTTTCTGAGATAAGAAAAATATCTAATTTTCCTTTTATGATTTCCATAATACTAGAAAGTTTTTTAGGAACAGAATTTATGTTAAGGTGTCCTATAATTATCTTTTTAGGATTTTTTATTCTTATTGAACTGAAATTAGTTACTTCATTTAAAGCGCTATCTATTATTTCGATAGAGCTCTGTTTATTTTGAATTTCCTCGTTTAAATCATCATATTCTCCGTGGGTTATAAATGAATGATTAGCTTTTTGACTATAAGGGCATGAAGGCTCAATCATGGTTAAACTGTGCATTATCTAACCCATTTGTCATGTTTGCTGCAGATGATTAATTATGTTTCTCGCAAGAAGTATGTTCTCTTGTCTATTTAGATAGAGTCTGCTACTGTTCAAGCTATCAATAGTAATGTTATTGTTGTTTTTAAAATCCAGTTTATGTTCTCTGCATAGCTGGTAGAGTTCATCATTCTTGATTTGAATATCTTTGTTCACTTGATCGCTATCTCCTCTCATTATGATGAACTGATGCTTATACGTGTACGCTGACTGCTATGTTGAACTTTGTTGATAATTTTTCGGTAGTTGTCTATTGTTTTATACTTTGATGCAATATCGTTAGTGCCAAAATGTATTATGATTTTATCAGGGTTTCTTGTTAAGATAGTTTTAACATAGTGTATAGCATCTTCGGATGTCGCACCAAATACCGAGTGGGTCTTTATAAATATTCTTCTTGACATCCTATGGCTTCTAGATTTTAAATCATAGAATATAGTCTATGATGTAGATCAGCTCTTTCCTCTCGGCGAGATTGCATTCTATTTCGTGATTGATACAGTATGAGATTGGCTGCTGTGTTGTTCCGGGTTGAATAAGGTTTTATTTTGATATGAGATATGTATAGGATTGACTAGCGTTAGTGATTTTGCTAAGGATTGAAAATGATTTGAGTTTGTTATAGATTTATCGGATATTGGATAGAATGGTCCAGAGTATTATTGTTGGGAAGTGGCTTTTTTATGTGGATTGGTTATGCTTATGTAGATAGATTCTAAAACTGCTAGGTGGAACGACGATCAGATGGACGGTTTCGTTTTGAAAGCCAAATAAAATAGGCCATTACTAATTGTTTCTTTGCGGTCAACCCACGTGTTGTTTATAGTACAAAAAAGGCCCTTCCGTCTATTCAAAAGGGCTGCGTTCCTGCCACACAAAAAAGTTCTGTTGTATATGAATTTACGTGCCAGTGTGATTCTGGCTACGTGGGACGCACCACCCAAAGATTGGAGGATAGAATAAAACAACATGTTCCATCTAATATTAGAAACAAAACCCATCCCCAAAGAGAACAGCCACCTCGGTCTTGCAAATCTAAAATTACAACTAAAACCTGCGATTCTGCTATCGGGCAGCATTTGCTAGAAAACCCAGATTGTGCAAAAAACTATAATGGCGACACGCTTCGGATTATTGGTAAAGCCCAATCGTCGTTCCACTTAGCAGTTTTAGAATCTATCTACATAAGCACGAAAAAACCGCTACTGTGTAGACAAAAGGAGTTCGTTTTCACCTTAGAACTCCACTGGTAACATTCTAATAGGCAAGCGGCACTGATTGGTCAACCTCAACAGTCATGTGCTCGTGTTTCTGATTGGCCTATTTCGATCCACAACTGGGTATATATATTTCCTAACGTAGAGTTTTCGGTCTATGTTCTGACGTTTTAAACTCTGAAGAGTGTCAGACGAAAAGCTTTAGTTTACTAAATGTTTGCTTTTTTCAAAGCCATTTACAAGTTATGTACCACCAAAAGATTGTTTGCAAATTCCTTTCTTGTGCGCGTGCTCTGATCAATTTGGCCTAAGTTATATTTGGATTCGCTTGGACTAAAGCTTTAACGTGAAATAATTCTGAGTCAAATTTAGAATTAACTCATGGTCTAAATTCAAGTTAACTTGAGATAGTTTGAAATAGCTTGAGATAACGCGAGCTATCTCAAAATTAACCCATGTACCGATTCGGTTTCCACTTGAGATAGAATTAAGTATTGAAATTTCAGAAATCACATTTTATTTGAGTCTTGCAGCTATGGCGGGCGTCTTACAAGAACATCTTATTTTACTTCTGCTTTTGAGAATACGTAGAAGGAAAATATTTTTTTTGCTAGAAGTGCCGTTCGCGATCTGCGCCAAGGTTTTCGGTACGGAGAGTATCGTAACAGTCCGAACAAATCAACAAAGTGTGTTGCAGTAAGGCAATCAACAATCAATACAACATTTTGTATTTTATAATTTTATTAGTAAAAATATGTGGTATACATTACACGCTCATTTCCAACACACACTGACTTCATTAAACCATAAGCAATTAGTTTTTAGTTATCGGTCCCTTTAGAAAATATGATTACAAAAGATATGTGTAAATGTTCCAAGTCAATTAACCAAGCGGCAAATACAAAAGATATTACCAACAATAAATGTGTTAACGATTAAACCTATGTAGATCTATTACGAGACAAAAGAAATAGTAAGAATACTGAAAACACGACCTTGATTAATAGCACGCTGGTTAATTACGCAAGTAAACCGTGGGAAAGGCGTTTGCGCGGCAAACTCCCTGCTTTCCGCGACACTCTCCCCCCTTGACTCACTCCGAGTCAAAAACAAGACGGGTCCGCCATAGCGCGTCGGCAGCTGCAGCTCTACGAGGCCTATTTCGTACTTCCTTTCTTTCACTGTCACCATTTCCTATATCCCCCACTTCGTCACTTGTCCCTGTTATCTCCAAAGGATAAAGTTTAGTAATTGGTCTATTAAGTAAATCTCGCTTACCTTTGCAAATCTTAACTACAGAAGCACCCCGTATCTTACCATCCTTACCGACGATTAATCTTTCGATTCTTCCAATCTTCCATTGACTTCTTTTGACATTTTCATCCTCTATCAATACTATGTCTCCTTTATGAATGTCACAATTGTCGGCTCCAGCAGCATTATGCTTTTCACGTAGTTCCCTCAAATATTCGGTTCTCCATCTCTTCCAAAAATGTTGTAATTTCCTAACTAGATAAAGGAATCGTTTACTATGCGAAGTTTCATCATCAGAATAATTAAATTCTATATGATCTGCAAGAGGTGATAATCTCCTACCAAACATTAAATGAGACGGTGTTAGTATGTCAACATTAAAATCATCCTCGTATATGTACGTCAGTGGTCGAGAATTCAAAATTCCTTCCACTTCTACTAAAACAGTATGCATTTCATCCTTATTCAAAAGAGCATTGCCAAGAATTTTTCTAAGTATACGTTTAACTACACCAACCATTCGTTCAAACATGCCACCCCACCACGGACTTCTTTCTAGATTAAATTTCCATTCTATTCTTCTTGACTCCAACTCCCGCTGCATATCTTTATTTCTGAATATACGATTGATAGACTTGGCTGCTGCCTTAAAAGTTTTTGCGTTGTCGGATACGATTAACTCTGGCGTACCTCTTCGAGCAGTAAATCGTCTTAAGCATCTTAAGAAAGACTGAGCTGTAAGATCTTCCACCAATTCTAAATGTAAAGCACGTGTTACACAGCATGAAAAAAGGGTGATATACGTTTTACGTGTTTTACCCTTTAACCCCTTGACATACAACGGTCCAGCAAAATCAACACCTACTTTGCTGAAAGGCGGTGACTCCTGTACTCTAAAATCTGGTAACGGTGCCATAGGTGGTGCCTTATAAGCCTTACCCTCCAATTTCTTACAGATTATACAAGGCTTGATAAGCTTCTTAATGAATTGCCTCCCCTTAGTAATCCAAAACCGAGATCTTAATTCCGTTAAAGTGATACGAAGACCCTCATGCCCCATTAACGCATGGACATGTAAAACAACGAGTTCCGTGAAATGATGGTTCTTTGGCAATATTATAGGAAATTTGCTCTCAAATTCCATATCAGAGTTTGATAGTCTACCTACACATCTTAAAATACCACTCTGCTCTTCAATGCGTAGCTGTTTCTTAAGCAATTCAAATTTTGGATCTTGTTTCAAGACTGCCTGCGCATTAATAATCCACAACCTTTCCGCAGACAAGATTTCTGGTACAGTTACAGATCCAATTAATTTTTCCTGTTTGTTCATTTTAGCTTTAAGATTATTTATGAATCGGCAGACATATGCAGTAACGCGTACAAGCTTATCATACGAACTGTACTTATTAATGTCAATGAGTTGATCAATATCCTTAGAACTCTCCTCTCTAATCAACATGGAATTGACAACCTTCTTACGTTCCACATCTACTTCAGAAGGTCTACCTAAATCAATATTTGACGGCCAACAAGACTTATCCTGACATAACCAGTCTGGACCATGCCACCATAACTCACTATCCTTCAAAGTATCAGCATAAACCCCACGCGATCCTAAATCTGCTGGATTATCTTTACCGGGACAATGTCTCCACTCTTCACTTGAAGATAACCTTAAAATTTCATTCACTCTGTGTTGCACAAACTGTTTCCATTCATTTCTGTTATTTATCCAAAACAATGCGGTTTTACTGTCAAGCCAAAGATACCTTTCCTCTATATAACAGTAACTACTTAAGGCTGAGGAAACAGTTTTCATTAGTGTTGCGAGAATTCTAGCAGACATTAATTCTAAACGCGGGATAGAAAGAGCTTTCAATGGTGCTACTCTGGTTTTTGAACATACTAGCTGACTGAAAACTCCTTCCTTAGCTTCATAAACAAAATACACGGTAGCACAATAACCCTTTAAAGACGCATCAGCAAAACCATGTAGGGAACAATGCAAAATTTTCTCAGCATTCTTCCCATACAAACATCTGGGAATAACAATAGAGCCCACATTAATTAATGAACTTAACCAATTATTCCAACGCTCTAATTTATCAGGGGGTAACTCGTCGTCCCACCCAATATTTTCGACACACAATTCCTGAAAAAGAAATTTCCCATTAATCAGAATAGGCGAAAGAACTCCTAACGGGTCAAAAGTTTTGGCAAGAAAACTTAATATTTCACGCTTGGTTACTTTCTTACCCAGTAGTTCGGATGCAATTTTCGAAAATTCGAATTGCAAGGTATCTTCACGTTGATTCCAATGAATCCCTAAAACTTTACATGAGGAATCAATATCCTTTCCCTCATTCAAGATGGTTTTCGCATACGAATTGTCGCATTCTTTTGTCTTAAAATTCAACTCCTGAATAACCTCAGATTCAATAACCTTCGCGACTTCGGGTTCATTAGTTTTCCATTTGCGTAAATGAAAACCTCCTTCAGCCATCCTGTTCTTAACCTTATAATACAATTCCAGCGCTGCTGTTACATTCTTAGCTCCTGATGCTAGGTCATCTACGTAAAATTCATTTCTTACATGTGATACAAATTGCGGATCGACCTCTATATATTTGTCAATATGATGACGTAAAACAGCATTGAGTAAAAATGGAGATGAATTTACTCCAAAAACTACTCTATTAAAACGATACGTCTCAATAGATGGCGACTGGGAATTTATGTCATTAACCCACAAAAAACGTAAACAATTCCTGTCTTCAGGATGCACTTCTATGTTTAAAAAGGCTTTCTCAATATCGGCGACTAAGGCGACTTGGTGATGTCTCCAAGAGACAAGAAGATCAAAAAGCAACGGATTCAAGGACGGGCCTACGTGTAAACAATCATTCAAAGAAGTACCATTGTGTTTTTCTCTACACGATGCATCGTAAACAATACGCAATTTGGTGGTCTCTGCCTCCTCCCTTATAACAGCATGATGTGGTAAATAATGAACATTGCTAGAATTATCTAAACCTACAACCTTCTCTATAATCCCCCTCTCAAGCTGGTCCTTAATAATATTGTCATACTCTTGCAATACTTCATGGCTTTTCTTGAGTTTAGATAATTGCCCCTTTAATCTCGCTACACTGACACCGTAATTAGTTGGAAGGGGTTTATGGGCTTCCTTCCATGGCAATTTAGTCGAGTAACGCTCGCCTGTAAATTCGATATTATCCACAATATCTTCATGAACATCAGTTGTAGGCCGTATTCCGACAGAATCTAAATCCCATAGTTTGTGGATCTGATCCTGTAAACTGGCCTTATCATTAAACACATTAGTTTCCTTATCCGATACAAAATTGATATTGACATTGCTGACAGAAGTAACATCAACGATCTCACCTTTAACTGGTCCTGA